TAATAACTCAATTGAGACTGTTTTTTTATTTGTTTTTGTTTTTCAAAGATTTAGTTTATTTATTTGAAGGAGAGAGAGAGCAGGAGCTGGGGGGATGTGCAGAGGGAGAAACATGCTCCCCACTGAGTAGGGAGTGGATGCAGGGCTGGATCCATGACCACAGTATTATGACCCATGCCAAAGGCAGAAGCTTATCCACCTGAGTCATCCAGATGCCCCTAAATTTTTTATTTCAAAATAATTATATGGAAAATTGACTCTTTTTGGTATACAGGGCTGTGAATTTTGAATTTTAATACATTTTATAGGTCCTATAACCATTTGAGTATCATTTACAGACTAGTTTCTTCGCTCTCCAAAACTCCTATGTTCCTTTCCTTTGCCTTTACATGCGTTCTTCCATATTCTCAACAAAACATTGGTCTATTTTTCTTTTTGTGATTTTAGGAATGTCATAGTGATGGGAGCCTACAACACAATGAGTTATGAGAACTATGTGTCTTGGTGTGAGGAACCACATGTCACAGGGCACATGCATGATCTCTACCTCTGTCACCCCTCTCAGTGTTTCCTACCCCTGATGACTGGAAGTTATTTTCATAGGAATGACTCATTATTTTAAGTGTTTAAATTCCTTGACAGACTTGATTTATATAGTCCTACAAAGTATAATTGGCATTTGGTAATGCAGAGGTGGTGTTGAAGTTTGGATCAACTCATATAATCAAGCTGAGGTATGTTCTGTACACAAGCTTCTTTGCACAGACTTCATCCTAAATTGTTCTCAATAGATATCTTATGATGTTTTGAGGGTAACTTAATTGATGGAGATTTATTCTAATCACTACCAATTAGGGTTGGTGATTATCTGGCTTCTGCAGGACTTAATATGAAATAGCATATCTAATAATCGTTCAACTTTGTTGCACTAGCAATGTCTGTGCAGAGCTGAGCTATAGCACTAAGGTGAGTCTGTGTCAATAAAAGGGCATACCCATGCAAGTTATTTTATTAGTGAGAGAACAATTCAGGGTAATCAGAAATAACTAACATTTTATCATTAGAGTGGGAAAGTATTTCTCAAGGATAAAAATTACCGCAAAAGAGTGCAAAGGAAAATATTGCGACCAGTGGTACCAAACATCTAGATTAATTCTCTTCTAGTGGCCTTGGATGGGACTGTCTGCTTTATGCAATTACATGTTTCTTTCTAGGATATTGCATGTGCTCTCTCCTGTGGAATGCCCACTTCTGCTGAATTTCTGGAGGACTTCAGCTTAAGATCTCTAATATGAGAAACTTTTTCAATTCTTGTCAACGAAGGATGTAGGGTGCCAGAGAATTGATGTACATGTAACCAAGGATCCATTTCTTGTACTTTATCTACCTAACTGGTAATAAAATGTAGATATGAGGTCAATTCACAAGTCTCAATGGCAATCTTTTCCAGAGATTGTTCAGAGCACCAAAGATTTAGGTCAAGTAAAGGTGGTTAAAAGAATGGCCAGAGGGCAATCTGTTCCTGGGATGAAAGGCAGAGCGTCAAGAGCTTACTTAGTTCAGTATGTGAAGATTGGAATACGCATGAGTTGGGACATTCTGAGTTATGTGGTCTGTAACTGCTACAGAGAGAAAGACACAGGCCGTGAAGGCTAAGGTAGGTACTAGGCCAAAATAGTTGAAGGGTAACTGCTGCAATTACTCATTTCAGTGTAATATTCCATTAGTTGTTTCTACTTTTCTGGAGGATTGAGGTGTGGTGGGAGAAGTGAAGTTTCAGTGTGAGAGCTAACCTTACCTAACTGTCCCAGAGAAATTTGCTCTGCTATCTCAGGACTAACTGAAATTGCATAGGCAGTAAACACAGAATCCAGGTGGTAGGTGACTCTTGCGATTGCTGTGGTTTTTTGACAGAAGAGTGGTTCAATCCATTTAGGAAAGAAAATACTAGTATCAGTCCATACTCATAGGTCATGGAGGGAATAGCGTTGTGGAAGATCCCTTTGGGATACTCAAATGTTTCCTTGGGACAGTATTGCTGACCATATTCCATGTTTCCAGATTTTATGGGTTTCTGTTGAGTCCCAGAAAGGTGTGAATAGCCCCGCTGTCTGCCATCCTAGGAAAGTCTCCCCACTAGTGTTAGTTTAATGTTGCATCCCCAGTGTGGTGTGTTATCTCTGTTGGAATGTAGCTACTGGTCACTGGCGATCATTTGGCTTCACCAGGCAGCTGTCTTGGCTTTGATATACCTTGTTCTCATGGGTCATCAAATAAATCACCCCACAGAGACTGACAAGTCGCAGATGAGCAATTATATTTTAGGTGTGTCTCTATAGGTATAGAAAAACCACTGGACAAAATCCAGATCCATTCCTGCTTAAAACTTGCAGCAAATTACTTAGAATTGAAAGGAATTTCCTCAACTTAAAAAAAGGGCTCAACAAAAAGACCACATCAAATGTCATACTTGATGGTGAAAGCTTAATCTCTTTCTCCTTAGTTTCAGAATTAAGGGAAGAATTTTAGCTCTTACCATTTGTATTCAATATTGAAATAGAGGTTCTAGCCAATACAATAAGGCATGTGGAAAAAACAAAAGCCATACGTTTGGAAATGAAGAAGATAACTTATCTTTATTTATAGACAACATAATTGTCTGAGGAGAAATGCAAGGAGATCTACAAAAACATCTACTAGAACAAACTGGCTTAAGAAAATCAAATGTACTCCTACCACAGAATCCAGCCTCTCTACTCCCAAGTATGGACTCAAGAGGAAACAAAAGCATGTTTCTATAAAATATCTCAAATGCAAATGTTCACAGCAGCTTTCTTTATAACAGTCCCTGGGACTAATTGATATGGTCAGCAACAGGTGAATAGATAAACTGTTTTATAGGCACATGATGCTATACTACACAGCAACAAAAAGACAACAACAGAAAGTTAAGACCAATGAAGAATTTAAAAATAATTGTATTGAGAAGAAACCAGAGAAAACAGTGTCATTGGGAAAAAATGTATACAAAATTATGAAATATGAAGACTAATCATGACAGAAGTGCTTCCTGGAAATGGGAGCGGTAAAGAGTTGAGAGACGGATTACAAAGTGACGTGAGGAAACATTTGGGGTGATGCATATGTTCATTATCATGATTGTGGTGACGGTTTTACAAATGTATACATGCGTCAAATATTGCAGAAGTGTTTAATTTCATGCAGTTTATTGTTATGCAATATATGCAATAATAAAAGCCATTAAATATCTAAATTTACTAGGCCGTATCTCCCCACAGTGTTGCGCAAAGTTTCTTGTGTGACCGAAATGCAAAATATTTCTCATTTAGGCTTTTATTAGCCTGATAGTATTTTTTTTCTTTAAGTTATAGATCATGACTTTCTGCACCCATGTGCTATACTGTTCGTTAAGTCTTTTTCAAAGACTTTATTTATTTATTTATTTATTTATTTATTTATTTATTTATTTATTTTAGAGAGTGAGAGAGACTGCCAGCATGGGTGGCAGGTGAGGCGGTGGGGAGGATGAGAGGAAAGCAGAGACTTTTGAGCAGATTCCTGGAGAGCTCAGAGTCCCATGTAGGGCTCCATCCTACAACCCTGAGATCATGACCCCAGTTGATACCAAGACCCTGAAGCTCAACTGATTGAGCCACCTAGAAGCCCTCTGTTTAATTTCTTTTTTTAAATTGTTATTTTTTAAAAAATATTCATTTAAATATAATTTGCCAACTTGTAGTATAAAACCCAGTGCTCAATCCATCAATCCAGCCCCGTTCATTTTCAACCAGCATCATTGCAACCCCTTTGGGATTCTCCCTACATAACTGAATACAAATTTGTAGTGGCTTGTCCAAAATTCCTTTCTAGCAGACTTTTGTGGCAGATTTTGACAATGTGATTTGGAAGTTGGAGGGAAAGGAAGGGATACCTGAACCCAAGCAACATCGGGCCTGAATTTCTTCCTTCACTCTGTATCTGAGAAAGCATTCCCATGTTGACTCTGGACTCATGAAACTCCTTGTTCTGAATCTGTGAAAAGGGGTGGGAAGGAAACAGCTTGAGCTAAGCTTGCATCTATGTGTGTAGAGATAAAAGTTTACAGAGCTTTACAGAAGATTTGTCCCTCTCCAAAACTTTATCTGGATAATCCTGATTTCTTACATTGTGGGGAAATTTGTTGTTGTTGTAACTCTTGGCAACAAAATTTGACAAACGCATCATAATGGAAAGCATCCTTGAGTCTAAAACCTGTTAAGAGTATAGCATTAGTATTTGTTGCCTGATTGACATACACTAGTCACCATATGCTGGAGTCAACAAAACAGTGAGAATATAAGATAAAAAACTCAGATCATTCTACAGGGATTTGATAACTTCATGTATGATGTTTCTTCTGTCTAGAATTCATATACTTCACTTTTTAATGAGTCTGAAAATTAGGAATCGTTGACTATTAAAATATCTGAATATAAAAGAGTATGACTTTTCTTCTGAAATGCTTTCATTGAAAAGAAAGTAGTATTACAATTGGTATTATTTTAGAACCAGGTATCTGGTTCTAAAGGAAATAAGGTATCAAGTAAAGGGCATTTGTTCATTATTTTTTTTAATTTGAAAATTCTTTAGTGAACGTGTAGAAAATGAAAGCCGCTATTCTTAATTTTAGGGTACACTGCCAGCCAAAAAACACAGAAGCACTCAGCAATGATTTTCCTTCCTAATACTGTTCTGTCTGTATTCAACCCCAACCTCTTTTCTGGCAGTCAGGGGATTATAGGATGGCCCACATGGATACATCAGAATATTATAAGGTTCAGGTAAAAAGTTGTATAAGATTGCTACCCTGTGAGCTATAAAAATGCTCTGGGATACCGTGTTACAGAAATTCCATATCAGGTAGTCTCTGAAGAACAAAACAGACCTGAGAGGTTAGGATTGCTGCTGTTCAGAGTTCCAAGTGCCACCCGAAAACTGGCATGCGCTTCATGAAGTCAGGGGTGAAACAGATTGTTGAGTTTGGGAGGATTCTGTCCAAGGCGCACCCATTTCAGTCCCTGTCCACCAGGAGGTGCAGCTTCCTCCCTCAATCACATTTCCTGTGTGAAATGAGGGCTTCCACTGATCATTTCTCTGTCAACCCAGCGTCTCTTCAGGTTAAGAAGCAGAAACATGATTTAAGTGACACTCTAGAGATGAAGTGTTCTCCAGGGATCGTGATTGTCCTATTCTTAATGTTTGGTAAGTGAAACGCCTCATAAATTTAGATTTTATCCCCCATTGTGTCAGCAAAGACTTTAACTATCCTTTTATCCACCGACTTTGTGCTGAAGGTAACACAGGTCTCTTTTCCCCCAGGACAAACCCATGGAAACTCAGTGAACCAGACTGAAGGCCAGGTGACCCTCTCAGAAGAGGCTTCCTTGACTATGAATTGTACTTACTCAACGTCAGGGTACCAGGTCCTTTTCTGGTATGTCCAGTATCTGGGGGATGGTCCACAGCTCCTCCTGAAAGCATCAGGAGACAAGGAGAAGGGAAGTAACAAAGGATTTGAAGCCACTTTGGACAGCTCATCCAAATCCTTCCACTTGAAGAAAGGCTCACTGCAAGTGTCAGACTCAGCTGTGTACTACTGTGTCATGAGTGACACAGTGATGGGGACTGCAGGGGGAGCTGAGCACAAACTCTGAGCAGAGCAGGGGCCTGGATGCTGAGCCTCTCTGACTGATCCACTCTGGTTCCAACGCAGTCAGTGGTTGTTAGTCCCTCAGCATCCTGGTTGATACAAAGTCATACAAAACGCTAGAGCCTAGGAACCAAGATAATACTCTCCACCTGGCTATTCATGGTGACTTTGACAACAGTTTGATGACCGTTGTTCCTCAGCCAGGGTGTAAGCAATTTCAAGATAAAACCACATAACAATGAAGTGGTCTCTTGCTCATCCTTGCAGGGAAAGTCCAGCCCCACAAGTTGTTCAGCCACTCTGGTGGGTTGACACTTTTAGAGGAACTCAGGGTGCCTGAGAAGGTGGCTTCTGCCCAGTGTGCCTATGACAGAGTATGTATGACAGGAGGGGGAATGGGAGAGCTTCAGCCCCCAAACCAGGTTTTAGGAGAGAAAGAAGGGAAGGGAAGAAAGGAGGAGAAGCAGTGTACCTGAGCAAGGAAAATAGCGGCCAGGGACCTCTGCCCTGCTTTCTTCTCTAATTAGTCAGGTGTCAGACATGGGCTGATATTCAAAATGAAGGCATGGGGACAGAAATATAATGGAGGAAGTGGCTCATATCTAAATCACAACTGTGCCCCTCATTCCATCTTGGTAAGTACATAAATCATTAACCTACTAACAAGAAGGCTTTGAGTGAGATGGTCTTCCAGTGCCAAGGGAAGTTGTGGCATACATATTCCTCTCTGTACCCCTTGAAGCTCTGTTAAAAAGATGGTAAGGAATTGTAAAGGGCATATAATGACAAAGAGAACAGAAAAAGATGATAACAGAGTGATATTAGAAAAATTTTAGAGAGTGAGCTGTATGTATATGGAGCAATATGGAGCAATGCAAACTTGCTGAGCAGACCAAATAAAGAAGTATCGAAGTAGCACATAGTAGAGAAGTGCCCCGGTGTGTGGTATACCCTCTGGAAAGGGTTAGGAAAAAGTGGCACCAATTACATTTTAATAATTATGGTAGATAGTGTCGTGTGTGTGTGTGTGTGTGTGTGTGTGTGTGTGTGTGTGTGGGTGTGTGGGTGTGTTGGATGTTTGGAAGATCATAGTACTGAATGAGAAAATTTGTAAGTAATGGACAACCCATATTCTTTACCTGGGCCTATATAATAAGTAGTGACACTTTTCAAATCCTATAGAAGAATGGAAGATAGTCACTGAACTGAAGAACAGCACATCAAAAAGTCAGATAACCCATCTTTTCAGTGTATCTGTGTCTTGGGGATAATGATGGGGGACCTGCACCCCAATATTCATAGCTACAATGTCCACAGTTGCCAAACTGTGGAAGGAGCTAAGATGTCCTTTGACGGATGAATGGACAAAGAGGATGTGGCCTATATATACAATGGAATATTACTCAGTCATCAGAAAGGATGAATACCTGCCATTAACTTTGACGTGGATGAAACTGATGCTCAGTGAAATACTTCAGTATGATGCTCAGTATGATGCTCAGTGAAATACGTCAATTGGAGAAAGACAATTATCATATGGTTTCACTCCTATGTGGAATATAGGAAATAGTGAAAGAGACCATAAGGGAAGGGGGAGAATCTGAGTAGGGAAAAATTAGAGTGGAAGACAAACTATGAGAGACTCATAACTCTGGGAAACAAACAA